ATTTCGAATGTATCAGTTTCACCCATTATCACCATATCATTATCACATTATCATCATAGAGCATGTTTGTATTATGAGTTTAGTATAACTAATTAATGAATTAGTAATACCATTACGCCAATAAGGGTTAAAATGACAGAAAAAGTTAATGCTTTCGCACTTTTCCCTTGCAGACTATTTTCGGCTGCATCCTTCGACATCACTGTTATAGTATAGATAGTCTAATTCAAGCAGGTACGGAAGCAGACTTTGATTGCAAATTATTACCTGAACTCATACACCTCCTCAAAGTCACCAAATGTACCGTATGATTGTAAGAAGAAAATGTCATTTCGTGGCTCTAGACGTGTTTTTTACACAAATTAATCCATTGGTGAGAGATTGTAATTAACTAACTGCAAGAGGCATCACATCACTTTTTGATTGGGAGAAAGTACAAAGTATCTTCTCATTCGTAAATACAATTCTTTCTTTCATATTTCGGTCTTATTCACTGAAATCAGAGATTAGCTAAACTATTGCTAATATATCTTTCTATCTGTTTATTTTTAGCTATTAACATACTGCAATGTCAAATTATCGATCGCATTTCATTTCACTAACTATTAAATCGTTTGAGAGTTTTGGGTAGAACTAAGATTTAAAAAGAAAAAGTGCGAAATATAACTTCGTGACCTATGATTGGAATTGTTTGCGACCTAAAATGATGAATCATTTCTCTTTTTTGCTGAGCGGATACGATGGATTTTGAAAATTAATGACTGTAAATAGTCAATATGGCGATGACACTTTTGATACTTGGCATTCAGTACGATTCTAATACTATTATAGCCCTAATCATGAGGGCCAATTTTCGGCGTGAGGTATTTAGTATCTATTTTTCTCCAGTCAAAAAAAGAAACTTTTTTTCTGGAGTTACGCGGTAAACAAACATTTGTACAAACAGCTGCAAACATCTGAACGTCTAAAAGCCGTTACCCTCCTAGTTTTTATTAAATCTAAATTCTTTCGCACAGGAAATGAGCATAAATTTTTTTGAATTTCAGTCAGTTGGTTGATTTAAGCTCTTTTCACATTTTCATTTCATTCCTTCCTTCCTTCCCGTAATCATTCCTTCCTTTCTGTAATTATTTCATTCTCTTTCATTCTACATTCATCTGTCCTTCTCAAAACGATATGAAAAGGATAAGCAAATTCGGATCATATTTCTTTATATTTATCCAACCCACAGTTAATATTTGGGCTACAATCAATGCTCTTATTAACAAAACTTTTGCCTGAATATTTCTTTCGTTTTTCTTCTCTTCTCTCTTTCTTGAAAAACTTTTATCGAAAGGAAACGTTGATGAGTTTCAGTATTATTTTAAAAAGTTCAATTACATATTTACAAATTTGACTAATTTATTATGAAGCTATTTTTAATTTTTTTCATTCGCTTTCATAATTTCCTTTTTCAGTCCTTTTCAGTTTTTTTTCCATTCACTTTCATAATTTTATTTTTAGTCCTTTTCAGCTTTTTTTCTATTCACTTTCATTTTCCTTTTTCATTTTTTTTCAGACTTTGTCATATGTATCTCATTCAGCGATAAAATTCCGTAATTATTGATAATTGCCAAAAGACATTTGTCAAATCAATATCACTAGCATCTTTATTGTCCTTTTATTATCAGTCACTATCGTTACGCCCAGTAAAGGCTGTCACTCTCGTCAATAATCATTGTTAGAAATATGCTCAGATTTTATTGACTGACTTACTTCTTTTATATTCTTTGTTTCACTTTTCTATTTTATTTTACTTTTCATTTTAGTGATTTTCATAAAAATTCAAAAGAAATAAAATAAAAATTTGTGAAAAATTCGAAAATTTTCTCCAGTTCATTATTCAGTTTTTTTATTTAAAATTTTATTCAAAAATTGTGCATTCAGTGCATTTCCAGGGTTTTATATCGTATTCATACAAGTAAAATATCAGTGCATCTCAAGACTTTGAAAGTCTCCGTTACAAGATCACCGAATAAAAAATAGGCTTACTGATTATCAAATCTTTCATTCATTATAGCATGTATTGAATTTCGAAAATTAGGATTATATTACATTTGCTTTTCCTTCTTCTACAGTTTTCAGAATATCTCCTCCTTCAATTGGGTCATTCTAAACTTCAACCCCGAATAAACTACTTGTCAATAGTTTATTCGGGATTGATTATGCCACAAATTTAGTCTAACTTGCGCAATTTATATGATTTCGGATGATATTTCAGCTAACAAAGCATAAACAAAACTTTGGACTTCCCTGTTGAAATGAACAGCCGCCATAACGGCCAGCTTTTCCAATTGTCTGCTTTATCAATCCTCTTCATATGCTCAAAACGTAAATGTACCGTAGTACATAATTAATTATCTGTCAGATGGTTCCCCATTTTATATTATTTGTACTTGTATTGTAATTCTTGCAAGTTTTATTTTATCATACCAAATTAATCATTTTTAAGGGATGGAACTACTGCAGAAGATATTTTTGGACATCGGAAAACTTGAATAGCAGGAAGTGAAAGATGTATGCACCATCAACTTTAGCAAGATATGAAACAAGAGATTTTTCCTTCATGTTGGTTGTTAGTGTCATTTTCAGGCTCAAAGTTGATAACGAAGTATTAGTTTTCTTTGGAATAACTGATTCACAGATATGAAAGAAAGTTAAAATTTCATCAAACCATCAAAAAGAATTTAGAAAAAGGAAAAGCTGTCTTCCAATCAAACCTACTATCCATTTCCATTTCCAGTAACCACAACTCGTTACTATTCTAACATGTAGTGATAATATTATATAAGCTTTTATCATTTTCAATCACTCTGGCAAAATCTCACAAAAAGACTTATCTTACTGCTGGTTTCAAAGCTGTTCCATTTTTTGAATTAAATATGTATATGAGAGTATCAATAATAACTTTCTGATAATGGCCATTAACTGTCTCACCAACTGCCAACTCCTACTTTCGATCTAGGACATTCAAAAAAAATCTTTGCTTAAGATCTAATAACTGATATAGGTGGTAATATATTATACTCCTCATTTTATTTTTCCTTCTTTTGTTTTCTTTCCTATATACAACCTACTTACTCCTCCTTTTCGATCGCCCTATTTTCTCGGTCCTTTCCTCCTTTTTGTATGAGAAATATTCCAGTAACTCTCAGCCAGTTTCTAAAATTCCAGTTTATAACATTAGCTGGACGGCAATCAGCACATTCATCGCTTTAATAATAATAATAATAATAATAATAATAATAATAATAATAATAATAATAATAATAATAATAATAATAATAATAATAATAATAATAATAATAATAATAATAATAATAATAATAATAATAATAATAATAATAATAATAATAATAATAATAATAATAATAATAATAATAATAATAATAATAATAATAATAATAATAATAATAATAATAATAA